AAACAAAAAAACAAAACAAAAAAGCTAAAGAAATTATATATATGAAAATTACAGAAATGGCCTCTATACCCTACTCTTGGTCCATTCAAAAGCTCACAAGGACTCCGGTTATAACATAAGGAGTAAGTCCTCCCCCTCCAACCTCTGATAGCCTCTGGCAGTGTCGTAAAATACTCAGTATCACAAGAAACTTCCTGTCAACTTTCAAAGTCATGAACTCCTTTATGTCAGCTTCCATTATAAAATAACGACCTTTGGTATCCTTCGTTTCTTCATTAATAAATCTGTGATAGAGATTTCTGGCCACAAAATTCATAGACTTTTTTCGTTGATATAGGATTTTATATTTACTAATAACTGCCTTGTTGATTTCTTTAATAGAGTCATTAATTTGACCATAGGTCAAGCGAGATTTCATGTACGAAGGAACACCATTGAACTCGTCAGAAGTTATAAATGGCAATTCCTTAATACTTCTTTGTTCTTTGGGGAACTTCTTTATGGGTCCAGGTTCCACAGCTTTGTTTGGTTCTTCAGAATCAAGATCTGATCCCTTAACCCATCTCTGGGTGACTCTTACTTGTGGCAAATGGGAAGGAATGTTTTCTTTAAGATGTTCTATGTCTTTGTAATCTTCAAGAGATTCACAGAGTTCCTTGAGTGAATTGTTGGTTTGTTCTTGTTGCTGAATTTCCAATTCCAATTTATTTAGAAGTTCATTTGCTACAGTGATCTCATCTCCTATTTTATTTAATACAGTCTTCAAGGTAGGTTCCTGGCCACAGTTTCTTAATGACAAGGTTTTCTTAATATTGCCAGTCTTTTCATTAACATGAGAGCATAATAATTCCAGATCTGAGGAGGCCATCCTTTAAGCATCTCGAGTCAGTCCAGGAGCAAAAGGCTACTCGCCGCTGGGTCTCCAGGCTTGGACAACTGCAGTCTCCACTGGAGGACCGGGATGGGGAGAGACAGCTCCAGGAGCAAAATTCAAACCACACAGCAGCATGGCATTTTTCTTTTTTTTTTTTTTTTTTTTTTTTTTTAACAAGTTTTTTTTTTTTTTTTTTTTTTTTTTTTTAGAAACAGAGTCTAGCTTTGTCTCCCAGACTATGCAGTGGTGCAAACATAGCTCACTGCAGCCTCAAACTCCTGGGTTGGAGCACTCTTCCCACCTCAGCCTCCTGAGTAGCCAGGAAAGGTATTCATTTCTGAGCTTGGAAAATGTTTGAGCAAGGTCCAGTTTCCCCAGCCTCTCATATCCTAGCAAAACTTCTCATCCGGCCTCACACAGTGAACAGGGTGAACGCCCTCCTTACGAGTGCTACGCAGGGGTTTCAGGAAAACACTGCCTGCACCTGGGCCTTGTCTTCACTCCGCATCCCAGCCTAGGAGGTGCTGGCCACCCTTGTCCTGTTCCCAGAACCAGGAGCAGCTCCCCCTCCCCTTTCCTCTCTTCTCCCTGTGCCTGACCAACCCTTCCTTCCTACCGAAGGACAGACTTTGGAAGCTGGAAAGTCACGTGACCATAGACTACAGTGCCTGCCACCCTTCTATACGCCTTCTAAAGTCCACTCTGAAGTTTGTTGTTTTGTTTTTGTTTGTATTGCTTTTTTGTTGTTGTTTTCTTTTTATAATATATCTAAATAGTTGGAGATCAAACCTTGTCAATAATCGGCTCAGCCAGCCCTAGAGGACAGGGGATAAAACTCTTCTCTTTGTGACTTAAATTCAGATTTTCCTGCATGTTGTATACTTTCAAAGTACCATGAACGCAGGCAGCGGTGATGCTCCAGTTTGTCTCTTGAGTTTTACTTTACCACGTTACCACCAAAGCATCTATCAAACTACAGTTACTTAGAGGGATCACAAGAGATAGGTTTGTTTTTTTTTTAATGTTTTATTTATTTTTAAAAAAGTGTTATTATTACAAAAAAAATATGGAACACTTCATGAATTTTCGTGTCATCTTTGCACAGGGGCTGTGCTAATCTTCGCTGTATCGTTCCAATTTTAGTATATGTGCTGCCGAAGCAAGCACAACAGATAGGTTTTGAAGTGGAAAAAAAAAAACCACAACATAGGAATCCCAAGGACATCAGAAAGAGGTTCCGCATATATTATCTCTGGGCTCTGCCTTCCCAGGCAGCGAAAGCACCACTCAAACTAGGCTGTTCAGAAAACTAGAAGTGTACGACTTTAAATCCCCTTGTCTTCTTTTATGGACCAACCATAAACCCAACAACCTGTAGTATCAACAACAAAAAAGTAATTGCTTGAGCTTCTCATTGCCTCGAGACCTAAGTATTGGCCTGGCATGGTGGCTCATGCCTGCCATCTCAGCACTTTGAGAGGCCGAGGTGGGAGGATCGCTTGAGGCCAGGGTTTGAGACCAGCCATGGAAACGTGCATGATGAGACGCCATCTCTACCAAAATCATTAAAAAATTAACTGGGCATGGTGGCGTGTGCCTGTAGTCCCAGCTACTTGAGAGGCCAAGGTGGGTGGATTGCATGAGCCCAGGAGTTTGAGGCTGCAGTGAGCCACGATTGTGCCACTGCACTCTANACTCTAATCTGGGTGACAGAGCAAGATTCTGTCTCAAAAAAAAAAGAGAAAGAGAAAGAAAGAAAAAGGAAAGAGGAAGGAAGGAAGGAGGGAAGGAAGGAGGGAAGGAAGGAAGGAAGGAAGGAAGGAAGGAAGGAAGGAAGGAAGGAAGGAAGGGGAAAGAGAAAGAGAGAGAGAGAGAAAGGAGGGAGGGAAGGAAGGAAGGAAGAGAGGGAGTGAGCGAGGGAGGAAATAAATGCTGGCACTGTGGACCCTTCGGGAGGAATCCGAGGTGCTGCTCCTGGCTTGTCAGAACATCTTTCTCTCCCTGGTTTATGTGTCACCAGGTATGCAGAATGCTTAGTGCTGCTTCCAAACACCTTCTCCTTCCTTGCTGGGTGGGTTGCAGATGAGGGAGATGGATAAGATATGTTTTTTATTTGGGTAAACGCCAATAAAATTAATGCAGGGAAAGAGAGGCCTTCTAGAGGTTGGCATCAGAAATAGTCTGTCAGAATCACCTTTTTCTGTTTCCAGTTCATCAAAGGAATGATACAATCCCTAAGATTTTGAGCTCTCCAGAGTGTTCCAACAGGCAGAGTTGAGAACCATTGATCTATACGTACCAAATAGGAATCATTCTATTAATAAGGCTTTTATAGATCCTCGATGAAAGAGCACTAAATTGGTCCACATGCCTTGATTTATTCAAATAGCTACTATCTCGAAACTCACTCCCAACCTTAGGGCCAGTGTGGTAAAGAGGGAGCTGTCCCCAGCGCGATACTGAGTACCCACCTCCCTTTCCCTTGAATGTGTTGAAAGTGGAAGCTGGCCAAATGAGGAAAAATGTCTCAGAAAACCCCACACCAGGGAGGTTTGAAGAAGGGAAGGCCATTTGCCTCCCATCCCTGACCCCCTGGACTGGGGCTGATTATTATGGGATGACTCCATGTATACAGGTTGTGGGTCTTTTACAGAGAACCCATAAGTCGGAGCCACAACTTTTCCCTTTCTGGGTTACTTCCTGGGTGGGGATTCAGATGAAGGCAACGAAACCTCAGGATTTCATTCTCCTTTTTTGGTGTATTCTTTTCCTCCTAAACTTAATGACAAAAGTCCAGATAATTATTTCAATCTTCTGTAGACCCCACGGAAGCCAGGTGCTGTGTATCCCTGCAGAGGGAGCGAGTCACCACGTCCCACAAAGCCACGTGCCCTCTCAGTGCTTCTCTTCCCCAGCCTCAGGCTGCACACCCAGAGAGCCCTGGACGGATGACCCAGGGGTAAGGCAGGTCTCCTGGCACAGGGCCACCTCCAGGGTGTTCATGACAGGCAGGAAATGCTGCAGGAACTCAGTCTCCCCACTACTGGGCTCAGCTATCTCACCCACTATCTTTTTATTGGTTAGCTATACTCAATAGTTTTCTTTTCATTCACTCACATAAATCAAGGAGGCCCAAATGTTCCAGATAACTCTAGATAACATAAGTGTGGCAGCAGTTCATACACAGGAAGCCAGAGCAGAGGGAAGAAAGTGGCCCCGTAGAGCAGTAATGGAGCTCAGACAGAGGGAAACTCCCGATGTATTTATAAAGCAGGCGTACACACATACACCAGGTCAGCACCAGCCTAGGAACCTTTTAATCCTCAGTGGAAATAGAAACTGCTGAAGATATACACCTGAAGAGAAATCGGTTTGATGCCTAATGTCAACCCCAGACATGTATTTAAAACTATAACAAAGGAGGCAGCTGTATTTGTTTATAGAAAAATATGCCAAAGCTCTATTTTTGCCTCTGCCTCCCAGGTTCAAGCAATTCTCCTGCCTCAGCCTCCCAAGTAGCTGGGATTATGGTACCTGCCACCACAGCTAGCTAATTTTTATATTTTTAGTAGATACAGCGTTCCACCCTGCTGGTCAGGCTGGCCTCAAACTCCTGACCTCAAGTGATCCGGCTGCCTTGCCCTTCCAAAGTGCTGAAATTACAGGCGTGAGTCACTGCACCCTGTCTCTAGTTTACTTTTTTATTTTCATTACCCTTTTGATTTCTCTTAGCCAACCGGCTTTTAAAACATATTGTAAGTATCTTTTTGATGAGTTTAGAGCTTCTAGAAAAAACAACAAAGTAAGGAATCCCAGCTTCAGCTTATTATAACATATGGTATTACGAAAATTACTTGGAATTGGGAGGATATTTTTGCTTTGTTTTGTTTGAGATGTGGGGGGTGGGGGGGTCTCACTACATTGCCCACGCCAGTCTCCAACCCCCAGGCTCAAATGATCCTCCCATCTCAGCCTCCCTAGTAGTTGGGACTATAGGTGTGCACTATCATGCCTGGCTAAGAATTGGGAGTTCTGGCTATATTCTTCCCCACGTAGAGACTATCCTTATCCACAGAGGTGGGTACAGCCAAATGTTCAAGCCTAGAAGAGTTCATCACTGTTCCACAGGACCTATGCGATCTTGCTGTTCCTCTTGTCCTGAACATGCGAATTCTATACCCAAGGAGAGAAGCAGCTTTGGACTCAGACCAGGATTTCTACTTTCTAGGCACTGAAAATATCTTGCCGCAGATGGGAACTTGAACTGCTGATGGCAAGAGTGGACATTAAGGCACTGGGTGAGACTGACTGCTCTCCCCACCCCTGCTCCTGGTCACCACACCCCAAGACATGAAAAGCTCACCCTTCCCACCTCTCTCTCTCTTTTTTTTTTTTTTTTTAAGTGGAGTCTCACTCTGTCGCCAGGCTGGAGTGCAGTGTCACAATCTCAGCTCACTACAACCTCTGCCTCCTGGGTTCAAGTAATTCTCCTGCATCAGCCTCCCAAGTAGCTGAGACTACAGGTACATGCCACCATGCCTGGCTAATTTTTGTATTTTTAATAGAGATGGGGTTTCACCATGTTGACCAGGATGGTCTAAATCTCTTGACCTTGTGATTCACCTGCTTTGGCATCCCAATGTGCTGGGATTACATGAGTGAGCCACTGTGCCTGGCCTCCACCTCTCTCGATGAAGGCCCTGGTGACGCAGTGAGAGGGGGTAGCCAGAGAGGTTTCGAAATGGGGAAGCAGATCTCTCATGAACGCTGCACTTTCGGTTGCTGGGCCTGAGCCATTGTCTCATCCCCTTCCCCAGGGCAGCTGAGCACCTCGAGTCAGTGATGGATAGGAGTCTAATGGAACAAAGCCAAGCCAAAGAGGACAGGCAAGCTCATGAGCAAGACCACCACTAACGGAAGGTTATGCCAGGATCCCCGAAGCCATCCCAAGATGTCCACAGATGCTTGGTCATCAGAAGTGTCAGATTACTGCTTGAAATTTTATAGAACCGTGAGTTAACTGAAAGTAGTACCAGAATAATTACCAGATAGGAAAGACAATAAAA